AGCGAAGAACCAGTGGTACCCGCAGAAAAACGTCCAAAATGCCGAAACCCCCGGCAATAATACTAAAATCGGTAAACGAAAGCCATTCAATCGGACAATAAGTTAGCTGAATCAGGGCGGTCTGTTATATGTTATAATACAGACGAAAAGCAGAGAGGGATATTTGTGGATGGTAAAAATCCTTGAAGAACACCGACCGGCTATAAACTTTATAGCCTATGCTATCGACGCACCGAAAAATAAAAGATTTGTGATCAGAGGATTGCAAATTAATGTCAAGTTGCGAACAATCGTAACCGAATGGTAAACAAAGGAATAGACGTCACTAAAGTCGAAACTGTCTCAGGAATAAGAGATGGGAGGAAAGTACAACTCCCATTATACAAAATTACGGTTCCCAAAGAGGAAGCCGAAAAAACACGTAGAATCAGTAACCTCTGCTATCTTCGAGTAAAAATCGAAGATGAAATCAGACATCAATGAGACGTGGTTCAATGTTACAATTGCCAGAACTTCTACCATGGTTCCAGCGCCTGCCACTGCGCCTCGCGATGTGTAAAATGCGGAGACTATCAAAGATCTTCAGACTGTCCAAATGACAGGGAAACCCCAGCCAAGTGTGCGAACTGCGACGGAGCACATACAGCTAGCTACAGGGAATGCACCAAAGCACCCAAAAGGAAAACAAAAGCGGTTAAAATATTTTATTTGTTAATGACTGGTATTAAAGTTTGTCAATAAATGTTTTTTTTTGGTTAATTTGAACAAATACGGTCAAAAATAATGGTTTAGTTTGTGTGTTAATAAACATTTACACCCACTTTATATCCTCCATTATATTATGAATCCTACGATAAAATTGTGGATGTAATAAAATAAGGTAGTTGCTATATTATGTAATTTTTGCTGATGCACCAATAGTCTTATACTTTTGTTCACGTAATTTAAGAAGTAATTGCATATCCTATTATATGAAAGGGAACTGAATGCATTGATTCTCTAATAAACTACAATATTCCACAATACAATGCGATTATTATTACTACGATCTATGGCTAATGAATTAAATCCGAAGCCAAACTCTATACAGATACACAGATATAAGTACACGCATTGTCAAGCATCTTATACAGAACAAATACAGTGTATGTATATTATCGGACACAGTTTTTGTACCGTCGCGTCGGCGGATTTTTACGATATATACAGTTGGCAAACAGAAAAACACTAAACAATAGATTGTAAGAAAACTAAGCTGTTATTAAAAACAACAACTTCATTTCAGACAAATGCTGGATGGCGTCGATTTATGATTAAGCGATTCCCATTAAAATACATTATTGGCATTCTCTAATGAGCAGGATTGTTTCCAAGAAAATTTGTATAAAAGCCGAACTTTGTATAAAAGCTACTAGAAGTTTGAGCAGAGTTGTTTATTTATAAAAAATCGATTAATATATCTGTAGTTTTGATCATTTATTATAGAGAACTGGGTCCGACTTTATGAAAAACTTAAATGCATCTTCTATACAAACATAAATTATTTATCCTCTTGGTGCTAAAGTGATGCAGACAAGAAAATAAAAAAATCGAACACTGTGTACCATTTTTATATAAAAATTTGTTATGTAACTAAGAAAAATTTATTTAATTATGTGACGTCATTTTAGGTACTTAATTATAATAATTACGAGAACAGGGTTTTGAAATACAAAAGCAAGTTGAAGAATTATCTGGAACTAATAATAATATTATCAGCATGAAAACTCTGCATTCCGATTTTTGCAGGGTGTGCACAGATTCAAGTATTTGCAGTCCTTACCGGGTAATTACAAAGATTGTTCTTCGAGAGACTAGAGGCTGTTTTAGTATTACATAAGCACTATAGGAGAGTGATGGCTCTAGATAATGATTTTTCTTGTTCAAGTTTCATGCTTTCAAAGCATTCTTATCCGGAGCGATATATTAATATCGCGATTACAAAAAAGTTTTCTCATTTTATTAAAAGTTGACCATGCAATTTCAACGCGGCATCTTATTTCTTTTGTCTAATCAGTATCTTCTGTGATCCATGCTCCAAGGTATTTGTACAAAGATATTTGTTCAATTTTTGTATTATCTAGTACTAGGTTAAGTTTGATGTTTTGTGCTTTTGTAATTACTATAAACTTCGTTTTCTTCAAATTTATTTTTAATCCATAATCGTTGCAATATTCATAATCGTTGCAACCCTCCTTAATACAGCATACAAAATATTTTTGAGTATTTCGCAAACAAGCACGGAAACAAGCTTTGGAAACAAGCACGGTTGCCGAAGGATATATAGAGGATTCAATAAGAAATAAGAACGATAATGCTCAAAAAATTTTAAACTCTCATGATTCGCCAACATTGGGAATTATTGCTGAAAGTTGTTCTCGACCATCAGTATCATCAACAATTACCAATGCGTATCAAGAGTCGGGAACATTTTTGCACGGTTTCAATTTTGAAAATGCCTTATTATCTAATTGTACTTTTAATATTACTCTAAATAAAAATGATGTTTAATTGTTGTTAATGACATTTGTATTGTTTCTTTGTGACATGTTTCATATTGTTGCCATGACAACATTTTTCCCTCCGCCGTAAAGAAATGAAAAAAAAACTGCTGCCGGCGGAGACATCAAACTTTGACAGGATCAAGTTAAATAAGTAATGTCATGATTGAAATCGTAGGCTTCCACGGCCAGAGTCAGAATTATAGTTTATTCGTCTTCCGGGTTTGGACCGTGTCATTTGTGAGTGACCCAAAAGTGGGTTCATCTCGACGTTTCGCTACAATTGTATGTAGCTTCTTCAGGAGAACAAAGAAAATGAAAAAAGAAAACAAAAGAACAGGAAGATGGGTAGTTAGCAACGGTAACTCAGTTACTCAACGCAACCAGAGGCGAATACTAACTACCAAGATGGGCATTTGGTCACAGTAACTCAACTACTCAACGCAGCCAGAGGTGAAAACCAAATGCCAGGACAGGGATTCACGTCCAACAGCTCAGAACACTAAGGGGTCGAGAGGCGGGGAGTGAATCTCGAGATTCACTCCCCGCCTCTCGACGCGTTAGTGTTCTGAGCTGTTGGACGTGAATCCCTGTCCTGGCATTTGGTTTTCACCTCTGGCTGCGTTGAGTAGTTGAGTTACTGTGACCAAATGCCCATCTTGGTAGTTAGTATTCGCCTCTGGTTGCGTTGAGTAACTGAGTTACCGTTGCTAACTACCCATCTTCCTGTTCTTTTGTTTTCTTTTTCATTTTCTTTGTTCTCCTGAAGAAGCTACATACAATTGTAGCGAAACGTCGAGATGAACCCACTTTTGGGTCACTCACAAATGACACGGTCCAAACCCGAAGACGAATAAACTATAATGTCATGATTATTTGACGTTTGAAGAAAAAACTCGTTTATTTTTCTATGTAGGTTTCCAAATAATATTGACGATTGAACTATTTGGGTAGCAAATTTAGGAGAAAACATAAAGATTTTTTATTGTAGCATTATTTTGATACCTATTAAAAAATTAACTTGAATTCAACTACATTTTATTGTATTAATTTTAAAGCAAATAAAATTGTATTTAAATTTTTCTATAAAGACGTGATTTGTTAATAGTTAAACTCTCGTTTTTTTTTAATTCTTTGAACGTTTTTTTATACATTATTACTACTTCCAATTTTTAAAGCCTGAATAATTATCCTCGCGACTAAAAATTTAAGCACGCTTATGCTCATTAAGGAAGCATCACATTCTATCAAAGCTTCAAAACATTGTGTGTTAAAGGTATCTTATTGCTGTGTCCATCTTTGTTTATACGTCCATGCCTTTAAGTATTTACGGCAATGGTAACGTATCACAGGATTACTTTAAAAAATAAAAATAAATCCCAGAAAGAAAAGCTAGTCCGTTCACGAAATATCACTTCACTACTTAAGTCCTTAAGTACTTATCCAGCCCAAAATAACATTTCATCCGGCGCTTGCAAGGTACAGTTTGCGGCCAATCCAAATGAGGAATCGACAAAGTTAAATTTGCCGTACTTGGCAATTAAATACGTAAGGAGAGAAATGTATGTTTGGTTGCTCATCAACTAATATTCTGTTGATTTTTACATGTATATCGCTGGGCCTGCCGAAACCCGAAAACGTGTCTTTTTAAGAATATACACGGGCGGATGGATGTGTCGAAATTTGGATCATTAATTTGAAAATTATCTTACGCAGGGATCACTTAACGCTTATATTGGACGAATTCTTTTAACAACCATAAATAAAATTTTGTCCGGTCCATTGGGAGAAAATTTTTGAAAACCATAAATAAAATTTAGTCTTTATTACCTTACAGATATTTTTTTTAATTTCAAAGAAACAAATGACATCAACTTACTACCTACCACAATTAATTATCGAAATACTGAATAAATTAAATATTAAAACAATCTATAATATTCATACAGGTGTGGGTTATAGTCTATGTACTATGGTACAGTCTTATTATATGGCCGAAATATTGTAACTTTCGGTTTTTTCGTTTTTTTTTTGTTATTTCTGTGCTCTTTTCATTCGATATAAAACTATTTCTTCATTAATGTCTCTGTAAGGGTCCAGCTCTCCATACCATATAGCAATGTGGCGAATATGTACCAGCGTATTAATATAATTTTTTAAGGTTTACCGTAATATCTCTAGTAATTAGAATTTTTTAAAATTAAATAATAAAAGTAAAAACGCTTACTAGAATAAAATAGATTTTATGATCACAAAAACATAAAAATATTCACTTTTTAAAAATATATTTCACTATTTAATGATATTAAACAGTAAAATTGCATATTTTGAAATTTTGGTTAACTCTATCAACTAATTAAATCACTTACGAAAGAAAATCAAATTCATAGCCAAATATAAGAGCTATTGTCTAACAAAAAAAATGTTTAATTAATTTTGTACATAAATGTATTCTTTTAGGAAATTAGAGCAGCTTTTGAACTGGTCAACGAACACCTAAGCCTCGTTGGATCATCACTCGTTAGTCCTAACAACAATTTATTTCGCATATCTATGAACACGATTGATTTAACTATACTAAATCTTACTTATTACCATTCTAACAAATATTTCCATATACCTAATAACTTTGACAAACCCATGACGTAAGTAATTAAAATAAGTGCTTATGTATCCGATATTTAATTATTAATATTGCAGGCAATGGTTAGGAGTTCAGATTTCTGGAACGAACATTCTTGTTAAAGAGAAGAACTCACGACTAGCTGCTGGAATTATCTTTAGAAACATTTCCAATTTTATGCCACCCAGACTCTTCATTAGAATAAAGTGAGTACAACTAAATATTGGCAATTAGCTACTAAAAATTACATTGTTTGTACTATTTGGTTCTACAAAAAGAAAATATATATAATGATTTGCCGCCGTCTATACCGTGTTAGTATCTCAGGAAACGAAGGTTTTCACCTCGCAATTTTTTTCGGAAAAAATCGATTTATTTGACAATTTAAGAATAAGTAGTGGATAGTCCAGGGATTAAAATCTATATGATGCCGAAAAGCCCTTTTATCACGGGGTAGTTACCACCCCATCTCAAAGGTAAAACATGTTTATTACACTTTAACGGCAAAAATGAATAGCAAAATTAATTCTAAGCCAATTCTATTGTCTTTCTGTCATGAAGCCGGCCTGATCCTCCCTGATTTTGTCTTTTATTACTTGCTCTATGTTTTCTCGCAGTATCTTCCCATATAATCTTCCTAATGATGTTATTACGCTTATTCCTCTATAATTTTCGCATCGTTTTCTATGTATTTTTTAAATATAGATGTCACATATGCCTCCGCCCATTCCTTTGGGAGCTGTTCTCCAATTATGGCTTTCTAAAATATTTATTTTATCATCCGGTGTAATTTTTTTAAATCATACTTTATAAGCTCAGGTGAGATGCCTCCAGGTCCCGGTGGTTTCTTATTTTTGATTGCTTTTATGGCCTTTCTCATTTCTCTATCTGTTATTTCTATTTCTTGTTGTGGGGATCTGCTTCGTATTCGCCTGTTTTCTTTTCCAATGAATTGTGGTCTTTGTTCTGTTAACAGTTTCTTGTAATAGTCCTTCCATTCCTTATCCTGTATATTTCCCAATTTAATTTTTTTTTTGAGTTTTGTTTCAATCATCTCAGTACTTCCCATGCCTTCGAACTTTTTGTACCTCTTATGTATGTTTCAATATTTAAGCAGATTTTCTCCCATTCTTCATTCTTTTGTTGTGTTATTTGTTTTTCCCTTCTCTATATTTTTTATAAACTTCTTTTTTGTAGTCAGCCATTTTCTGTATAGTTGCTTTTTTTCTTCAGTTATTCTTTTTGTTAGTTCTTTTATTTCATAATATTGATGTTTATTTGTTATGTGTTTTTTTTTTCTCCAAGGGCTCCGAATGCTGCTTATTTTATACTCGTCTTTATATGCTCGTATATTTCTTCGATGTTGCCGTATCTATATTCTTTTAATTTTTGGTCTAGACGTTATTTGTATAGTTCTCTTATTGATTGTTCTTGGAGTAGTCTATATTGTATTGTTTTTCTCTTATACTGTTCAATGGTGCTTCTGTGGATGGGGTCTTGTTATGCTACCAATTAATGCCCATTTTTGCTGTCAGTAATTTATGGTCTCTTCCACATTCTGCTCCTCTTCTGGCTCTCACACCTTTTATCTATATTGTGGTATCTTGTTTGACTAGTATGTAGTCTGTTATCGATTTCAGCTTTACCCTTACGTTTTTCTGTGTGTTAGGTTGCTAATTACTAATGCCACAACCCTCGTTTGGAGGACCTTTTCTTCAGCAGGCAATTCTGGATCAGACGCTGTTGATTCTTCCGCCCTGTCGACCATTGTGACTTTTGCAGACATCCTTTTCTCTTGAGACCGTTGACCGGTTTTCACCTGTACCCCGGGCACGGACCTTCACAGGGTCCGGTGCATCGGTTATGGAGCTACTTAATCTACCTTATACCGATACAGAAAATATTTAAGGAAGCCTTAATGGAGACAACCGAAGGTATTATTGTGTAGTAACCGTCAACAATATTAGATATGCCGACGATACCTTAGTCCTTGCCGATTGCGGAGAAGACCTTCAAAATCTAATGAACAAAATAAAACAGACGTGTGATCAGTATGGATTACAACTCGACGTTAAGAAAGCTAAATATATGATAGTTAGCAAACAAAATCATATACAGGATGACGGTATAAAAGTCGGAGATGCCACACTGGACAGAGTAGAGAAACTCGCGTATCTCGGTAGTAATATCAATGAGAGCTGGGATTTAACCGCAGAAATTAAAAGCCGAATAGAACAAGCCCTTACATCTCTGAAATCTGCCAAGAAATAGAAAATCACGGATATCGAAATGAAACCAAAGACCTCTTCCGGAAAGTGAAAATTCTTGCGAGAGAATTTAAACCCAAGAACTATGCAATAGAGAACAAACATGGTATTATCATACGTGATATCGACAGAGTGTTGGAAATATGGAAAAACTATTGTTCAGAGCTCTACAGGGAAGAACACGTAAATCTAGGCCACACTTCAGCCCTCGAAAACACTGAATACAACCCTGAACCTGAAATTCTGCTGTCCGAGATTGAAGAAGCTGTAACTCACCTCAAGAAGAATAAATCCTCTGGCTGAGATGATATCACGGGAGAGCACCTTCAGAACATGGGAGACAAAGGATGTTATATAATGTGGAAACTTTGTAATAAAATTTGGAGATGCGGAAAGTGGCCCAGACAATGGCGCACATCATTGTGCATACCAATCCATAAAAAAGGAACAACTACAAAGTGTAGTAATTATCGTACCATCTCACTGATTTCCCATCCAAGCAAAATATTACTAAGAATCATTAAACGCCGTTTGCAACAGTACTTAGACAACCAAATTCCCCAAGAACAAGCAGGATTTGTCAAAGGGAAGGGTACGAGAGAGCAAATCCTTAATATGCGGCAGCTCATAGAAAAGGCCCGCGAATTTAAAATTCCAATAATAATCTGTTTTCTAGACTACCAAAAGGCATTTGATTGTGTAAAGTGGGAAGTTCTCTGGACAGTTCTTCATGAGATGGGAGTTTCAGATCATTTGGCAATATTAATTAAAAACTTATACGAAGATAACTCAGATAAAATAAGAATTGAAAACCAGCAATCTGATACCTTCAAAACCAGCAGAGGTGTACGACAAGGCTGAATACTATCTCCAGACCTGTTCAATTTATATGGAGAATACATAATGAGGAACGCACTCGATGGATGGAGAGGCGGCATCTCCATTGCAGAGAAAAAGATCTCAAACTTAAGATTCGCAGACCATACAACACTGATAGCAACATCTGAAGAGGAGATGTCGAGACTGATAAAGAGAGTAGAATCCGAAAGCAACAAGTGTGGGCTCAAGATTAATAATCAGAAAACAAAAATCATGATTGTGGACCATGCGAATATCCTCCAAACAACAGGCGCCCTAAATCAATTCGAGAAAGTAGACGAGTTCACGTATCTAGGATCTTCCTTAAGCAATGCAGCCTTCTGTCATACGGAAATTCGCAGAAGAATAGGAATGGCCAAGAACGCGATGAGTCGACTGTCAAAAATATGGAAGGACCGCTCTTTGTCCAAAAAACTCAAAATGAAACTGGTACGGACACTCGTTTTTTCAATCTTTAGTTAAGGTGCCGAAACATGGACAATAAAATCAGAGGATAGGAAAAGGATTGACGCATTCGAAATGTGGTGCTGAAGACGAATGCTACGCGTCTCGTGGACGGAGCACAGATCCAATCAGTCGATTCTCGAAGAGCTAAACATTCAGACCAGACACTCCTCTCAGTGTCTTGCAAATGTTTTAAAGTTTTTTTCCACATTGCGAGAAGAGACAATGACAACTTAGAAAGACTAATTGTGTGCGGAAACGTAGAAGGCGTAGAGGCCGAGGACGCTCACCTATCCGATGGTCAGATCAAGTACAGAAAGCCACTGGAGAGACGTTTTCCGAGTCCATGAGAGCAGCCCAAAATCGAAAGAGATGGAGAGAATTGACAGCCCGCATTGTAGGGAATCACGATCCTCAGCAATGAGGAAACGACAAGAGAGAGAGAACAAGCCCGAGCTGCCTTTGTAAAAATGAGGAACGTTCTTTGCAGTCACGATCTTAGCATTGACCTTAGAGTTCGTATGAGATCTTGCTACATCTTTTCTGTCCTGCTGTATGGATGGAGTGGAAGCGTAGACTCTAACTGAGACTATGCTTAAATGCTTGACAGCTTTTGAGATGTGGGTATACAGACGACTACTGAAAATTAGCTGGGTCGACAGAGTTAGAAATAAGGAGGTCCTTAGACGGCTAAGCCAAACAACAAAACTGGTCAATATAATAAAGAAACTAAAACTGGAATACTTCGGTCACATTATGAGTCACCCTGAAAAATATGATCTTTTACATCTGATCATTCAGGGAAAGATCTAAGGTAATCGTGGTCCTGGTAGACGAAGAACATCATGGCTGAAAAATCTAAGGCAATGGTATGGAAAATCAACTACATCGTTATTTAGGGCTGCTGTCAATAAAGTCACGATAGCGAATATGGTAGGCAACATGATATCCAACGATCGATAACGGTCATGGAACTAGAAGAAGAAGAAGAAGACCAATAAGGCGTAGTTAAGAAGACTATCCATGCTTATATTTGAGAACCAGAGGTTACATTTGTTGTAATTGTGGTTCCTCTATTATGGATAATTTGGTTGATTGTATTGACTGCTAAGCTCTACATAATTTATTTGTGTTTGTGTTATATTATTCAAAATAGTTCAGATTCTTCATTTTAATTATTCTAAGTTACTATCACATTTCTTTGTGATTCTTTTTTCATATGCAATAATTTTTGCATAAGTGTCTGGACTATTTATCAAACATATCTAATTCACATTGTGACCTTTTTCAATATTAATATTTTTTTATATTTTACCTTAGGGTTCGAAATAAATATTTGTTTACTATAAATTGTGGACTTCATTATAATTAATTATACAAGAAAATGTCGCCATTAAATGAAAATAATACAGAGAAGAATTACAATCCGCAGGGATAATCCTAAAGCGGATTAATTTATCCAACCCTCTTTACAAGAGTCGCCAAACATACTCTTTAGCTAAGTTGACAGTTTAATTAGAATTGTATAGCTTTAAATTTATTACGACTAAGAGAACTGAGAATTAAAAATTACGGAAAATCGATTAACGCTTTTAATCTTTTTGTAGGTATAATCTGAAAAATTACACAATCACAAAAGAACAGCCACAAAAGTAAAATGTAATAATTGTAATTTTAATAACATTTGTTAAAAGATGAAAAGGTAATTTCGTCATGTTTGGAATATATTTATTTGAGGACAGAGATGGAAATAAACAGAATCACTGAAAAAAAAATTAAAGAATTGATTTTGTAACTGAATTTCAGGACTATTTCCAAATTAAAAAGGAAAGGAGCGCCTAATTTTTGTTTTGAGATCCACAGCTATGTAACCAGAATGTTATATTTTGTTCATCTCTGTAGTGTCTTCCTTATTTCTGCCTGATATACCCTCATGCCACATAACTGCTGTTGTTTTGTTTATTCGATGAAATACCGATTGGCACAAAACTTTCGTTGTATGCAATAATGCGAGGAACAAATATTACCTCTTTGATCATCTCTGTCCGAGGTAACATGATTACTTTTTGTAAATCAACAGAAATATAAATTTGGGAGAGGTTGTGGATGCAATCACATCATTTTGATATTCATTCCGTGCTGAGTCATATAAAATTGTATGCTTCTTCCATGTTTGACAGCAGTCACACTCTGCATATTCATTAATTTCATTATGTTTTGTCCCAGATTTATGTAGGTTGTATGTTTCGCATTCAAAACACTCTTCATGACCAAGCTTCGCAAATGATATATTAATATCACTAACATTTTAACGATAAACATTACTGACTTTCATATCTGGATACATCCTTGAAGTACTTGTGCATTTGTGTAATAAAAATATCACTAGGCAAATACAGCTTATTTGGTGCATGTTCTTGGCTTTAATGTGCTATTGTCGGATTGAATAACTGTACGTGTTGTTCATTAAGATCAATATCAATTTTCTATTTACATGGATGACGTCCTCTTTTATCAGGAACAGGTATTATGTTCGTAGCTGCTGGAGTGTTTCGAATAGTTTTCAAAATTCGGTCATTGTTAACATCAAATCCCAGGGGAGAAAGGAAAAAAGTTTTGCAAACAATATCTTCATCACCATTAACATTTTTCAGGTAATACTTGAACGTATTTCTGCGACAAGTGTTTGTTCCTGCTGTTTTTCGTTTTATATTGAAGCGCTTTATACAACCATATCATATATGGTTGTATAAATTTATACAAATATATTTATATTATAAATATATTTCTGACTTCTGCATTCATTTCCCACACTAGTTGAATAATAATTTGCTGCCTCTGGACATTAGTTTTTGATGCACACTTTAACTTGCACTGTTTTGGATTACATGGTGGTTTATTGACATGTTTTTGCTTCAAAGAAACTGTTTTTTTGCTTTTTTCTAGTAGTGTTCTAGTAGTTTCTAATAATGATAAATCAAACTTCTTACGTTTTCTGAGCGTACCTTTCTTTGTATAAATTTTATCATATTTCAGCTTTACAATATGTATTGCGTTGTCCACGATATTATCAAGTAGCTGCTTAATAAAAGGCAAAGTTTCTTCTGCAACATCGATGTTCACATCATCTTCGTTAATATTATTAGAAAAGTATTTGTTAGTTGATAAAATTTTATCCTCACCTGGGTTGAGTGTTGTTTCTAAACCTGTAGAAGATTCTGTTGCATTAAATTCAACATTCAATTGTCGTTTTTTCTTTTTCTTGCCCTCAATAATACGCATTTCTTCTTGAAATTGTTTATTATGCAATGCTAATGCAACTAATTTTTTTCCTCTGTCCATTTTCCTAAAGAAAAACAAACATTTACTATATACTCGGTTATTATTTATATGTATTTTTACTTACCACAGCGAATTAAAGAGTGCAGTGGGTACAGTTGTAATTCCCCTAATCATATATTTCGTGTTCAATGATTTTAACACGACTTACTTGTCCTATATTTACAATTTGACGTAGACAGGACGCTTTAACTAAGTAATTGGCATATAGGATGTTTATTCTAAGTACAACAGCTGTTAGTTGTAGAAAGGACAAACAAATTTATAATTTTGTACGATTTGAGATGACAGAAAGGACTTTTTGACTAAGTAATAAGATGGTAAATGTCTAATAATAATAGTGGAATATAATTTTATTAAGAAAAAACGAAAATTGTAGATCGGACGGTTTTACTAAGCAGGGCAGAACAGTATTTTTAAAAGTATTAACCAATGCAAGTTTAAACAGTGATGTTAACCCTTAACTTGGCAAAACGTTAATTTTGAATTTAAAAATCTGAAAATTAGTATGTTTGGGCGTCATACAAATATTCTATAAGACCAAAAAAAAGACATCTATATGTCAAAAATTTGGAGTATATACTAGAGAATACATCACCAAATATACCGAAAAATAGGTTTGTATAGCATATCATACATTACCAAATTATGTAGGATAAGTAATATGAATAAGAATTATTAAAATTAAATCAAAACTATTTATTTTATTAATGTGAACATCCATAAAACAATTCCTAGTATGCACTAAACATAGTCTAACATTACACTTGTCATAAAATATGACAACTTATCCCTTCTTGCAATTTCTGCACCTGCCCATTGCACCGTGTACTTTAAAATAATCCAGATGATATAATATAATATCGTCTTGGGGTCAAGGCTTTATCCGATATTTATTTTTTTTAGAAAAGTAGTGGCAGCTGCTTATTGCTGAGAAGTCCTCTTTTTATTTTGTCAGCCTGCAGTAGACTTTTGGCAAGTTTAATTCTAAATTGTTTCAAAGAAATGACTGTTTTTTTATCTTCTTGTAGAATGCTAGCATCACGTTAATATAATAGCCAAATATTTTTAATGGATATATCTTTAATTTGGGAAAAATGCCCATATACATTATATGTGTTTTGCAGCGTATTCTATATAGAGCAATCAACATGTCTGTCAAATCCACACCACCAATACGATTGTTATAGTGTTTTATTGACTGTGGGCATGGGATGTGAATTTTCCTGTTTTCCATTTTGAAAATTCTTTGTATGGTTACCATTGGAATGAAGGCTACATAAAAACGACATAAGGTTACTGACTTGTTATCGTACCACTTTAAAACGACAATGCGACTATCATCGTCTACTCCTTGATCAAAAGAACCTCTTCCATCTGTTTGCATATTCTTATCAGATTCAAGTGAACAAGCCCGTTGTCTGTATTTTCTAATAGTTCCTAAAAAAAGTATTTTAAATTCACTTCGAAGATATGTTATAAGTTCTAAACTTACAAAATAATTATCGAAATAAACCGTCAATAAAGGTTTATTTTGAATTGTTGAACATATAGCTAAAATACATTTTGCCCCAAATCCCATATTAATTTCCTTATCAGTAAAATGATGGTTTTTAAAGATATCGTTTCCTCTATAGGGAAAGAAATCATACACTATCCCTGATACGCCACAATGAACAAACATTTTAAAAACCCATTTTTTTGGTTTGTTCTTCACATATTGTCTACTCGAGCCTGTCTTTTCCCCTTGCATGGGACCATAATTTATTCCACTAAACATCTAGACTCTGATTTAATTGTGAGACAGTTTCTTCGAACAAGATCTAAAATAGGCCTTATTTTGAAATATCTGTCATTATTCAAGACCTCATTGTTGACAAAATGTAGGCTGTGTGATGTAGATCCTTTTAATTTAGGTTTCAATCAATTTAAAACCATGATTTATAGTAAACTTTAGAATTATTTCTAAGTATTGTCTTTTAGAGTGTAGTTATAAGATAAATTAGATTCCGAAAACTAATATATATATATATATATATATATATATATATATATATATATGTTTTGTCTGGATTTCTTAGATCCATCGCGCCCATTCGTGTAAGTTTTTTTCACGAATCTTCTGCAGAGTCGATATTAATTTTAAGGTAGAATCAACATATCTGAAAGAATAGGTAAAGAAATAATAAATCAGACTTACTCACAATCAATTTAATTTAACTATCCGACGACCGGTTTCGCTTTCTACAATATGCAAAGCATCTTCAGGTCTCGGTACAAAGTTAAACAAATGCTGAAATGATAAAAACCCATATTAGGGTGTTGTCTAATAAAGATAAACAAATTAGATGTTACAAATTACAATAATTATGCCAATATTACCTGTCTGTGGTTTTTATTTAAATGATTGAGTTGAAAAAGGTATAAATATTTTTTAAAAAAGTTTTAAAAAAGTTAAAAGGACAAGGTAAGGCCCACAAGTTGTCATAAAATCTCTTCTATTGGAATAAATTAATGAATGAGCAAATAAATAAATGAAATAAAATAAAATAAAATTACTTACATGTATTACCCATCTATTAATAGAGTACCGGCATGTAAGTAATTTTATTTTATTTTATTTTATTTTATTTTATTTTATTTTATTTTATTTTATTTTATTTTATATTATTTTATTTTATTTCATTTATTTATTTGCTCATTCATTAATTTATTCCAATAGAAGAGATTTTATGACAACTTGTGGGCCTTACCTTGTCCTTTTAACTTTTTTAAAACTTATTTAAAAAATATTTATACCTTTTTCAACTCAATCATTTAAATAAAAACCACAGACAGGTAATATTGGCATAATTATTGTAGTTTGTAACATCTAATTTGTTTATCTTTATTAGACAACACCCTAATATGGGTTTTTATCATTTCAGCATTTCTTTAACTTTGTACCGAGACCTGAAGATGCTTTGCATATTGTAGAAAGCGAAACCGGTCGTCGGATAGTTAAATTAAATTGATTGTGAGTAAGTCTGATTTATTATTTCTTTACCTATTTGAAATGGACTCACACAAGCAACAAATTCATGATATCTGAAAGAATTTAACGCATAGAAGAACGTAAAAAAATTGCAAAACGAACTTTAACATAAATTGTAACTAAACATCTTTTTTCAGTAATATTAAGAATTAAATTTATATATCTATCTTATTTGCAGGGACGGTTCAGAGCTTGAATATGAGATTTACTCCCAAATTGTGACACTTCTTCCTCTTCCAGAATTTTTCGAAATGTATCCAATAGCTATTGACTTTAAGCACCAGTTAAACCATAAAATGAACTGGAGCGACGATGAAACTTGGAGCGTAAAATGCGGATATGCAGATTTATCCACGTTTACCTACTCTTGGAATATTTATAGCTGCTACACCGAGGTATTGAGTGATTTAAAAACCAGATGCATTTGTCCAAAGCATGGGATTTTTGCATTGCTCTTAACTTTGGCACCTAAGGTAGGATTTTTTTATTCTAATTTTTCCAAACTATAAAGTAAGATTATTTCATACGTCTTGTGTATGACAATTTAAATAAAAGGTGTAAACTTTTTACTAGGCTCACTTCGATACTAGATATTTTTGTCACTTGAATAAATTACACGGTATCCAAAATGAAAAATTTTTTGACGTGGAAACATTGATGCAAGTTTATTTATTTTGGGTCAAAAGCATCTTTACATCGATAAGAAATTAATTTACATACATATGAGGTACAGAGAACAATAATGACCTAACTCCGAATACCTTAATGTTGGATAATTGATACAATTCTTAAAAAAAATAAACTAAAAGATTTAGCAGAATACTTGAATGCAACTCAAATATTTATTCATAAATAAGTAAAATAGGTGAACTTAACGACAAATTCAAAGGTTTTATAGAAAATTCGTTAAAACTATGAGGTACACAAAACGATTTGGAGTTAGACCACCACAAATCAAAATGATTTTTCTTTAATTCGTCGAATTATCCTCAGAAGATCTATCTTCGAGGTTTTGTTGATCAGATACTCAGGTGGCTAACGCAGTGGGAAAGTTTTATACAAATGATGTACAGGTGGTATATGGCAGTAAGTTTATCATGTCGTTTTTCTTTGCAGCTGTAATGGTTCTTCTTTTTGGATAGAGTGGTTCTTGTATTATTTTCATACTGCTAATGGTTCTTTGAACATTTTGCTTTTTGGAAAAATCAACATTGTAAGATTCGTTTTCCGGAGATTTAGAGTTTCCTTAAATTAAAATTTAGCATAAAGTTGTATTTATAAGGCACATTTAATGATATTGCGCTTTTTAAACTATTTAAACTATCTATTTATCTCTTTTTCTATTTATTTTTTATCCTATATGTCTTATCTATTTAAACTCTTCCAAACCTTCCAATTTGGATCTCCGCCAGATAGTACAGGCTCTTTGGGATAACTTAATTGTGGTAACTATAGCAGCGTATTATTTTGCATATCAATTCTTGCTGTTTTTGGTTAGGCGTCTAATGGAATTAAGCTATATGTTAAGGTATGTCTAATGAAGGCTATACCAACCAGATCTTAAAACTTACCTATTTTGGTTGGTCTTCAGCATTCCCAATTTATTTTTTAGGTCTCCTTTCATGCTGCGTATACTTGAAACATATTTTGTCAAAAAAGGAAAGTATATTCTGCTGTAGAGAAACTCTTTCCCCTGAGGTTTGTTAGTTAGTCCGTTCAGGTTCTCTACCTTGATATACCTCAAAATTGATGAGCTAACCTGTTTCAGCACATACCATTTCCCAAATTTTTATACCCCTCTGTTGGGGGCCTTGTAACTGGCTACCTACATCATAAGAGTTGGAAATCCTTTGATTCCAAGCCTTACTTCAAAGGATTTGTGAATGGATGCATCTCAATAGGTTTGGTTCAGTGACCGTTGAAGGATAAGGATTCTTAATGTGAGCAAATATAGCTCCAGAGAAATAAAATTACTTTTGAGTTTATCGATTTATAATTAAATCTTTTAAGAGTAGAGAGGCCCAACACGGCCGTTACTTACTATACAATATCAAATGTACTCTTTCTTTATAACACGAAAAATAAACACGAGAGAATAAACATGAGAAAATGCCCGATTTCGGCGTAGAGAAAATATTACGAGTTTTTAACTACCCGCTGCGGCGATGCCTCGACGGCCATATGCCAACTTGAACTGCTCTTACTGAACTGATAAAATACTACATAATGCGTAAAATGGGAAGATTACCCCTATTTTATTTAGGTGTGAAAAATATTTAACAGGGTCAGACGTCAAACGCCAGGGTGTCGCGTTCAAACTTGATAAAGTGTGTGTTCTAGTTATTATACACTAAGAAAAGTCAAAGAATTTTATTTTTATTTTATACTTTAAAACAATATGTTCATTTCTGGAACACCCTCTTTATGGGTTTCACTGGCATGTACCTACTATTTTAAAGTAGTCCTTCCTTTAAAGGCAACCATACTTTCATCAAAAATATTTCTGCTTAGAGAAAAAGATTCCATAAAGGTTTTTTTTTATTGTTAAATAAGAGGTCTTACTTTGTACAACTTCAAAATCAAATTCCTGAGTTCCTCTGGCTGACATTTGTTGGTTATCATTCAAATGGATATATATCTTAATATTTTAACAAATCTCTTTAGAGGGAAAATATTAGTAATCTTTTTATTATGAAAATTTGGATCTGCAGACCAGTATTTTTTGATAGAAGGTAAACTATTAAATCGCATTAGAATTAAAATTCCTAGGAAAGCTTTCAATTATTCGAAAGACAAATCTAAATTTTTGTTGTCTTGGACAGTATATAGATTTGACTGTTTTACAATGTATTGTAGTAAAATGTCAATAAAAAAAACATTAAAATGACTTACTGGGTTTTCAGACGACGGTATCACTTTCAAACCCTTGAATTCTGCATAATTACAATTTTTAAATTCAGTAGATATTCTTCGTTTTTTAGACCACCCCTTAAAATCATTGGTAACATCGAAAGTTGCTTCATCTTCGCTTGATGATGAAGCATTTATATTTTTGTTTTGAGGGGATTTTCGTGTTGGTAATCTCTGTCTGTTACAGAATCATCTGAATCCTCGTGTTCTAAAAAGTCGTAAATTTTAGATCTTTTTACGTTTTCTACATAGCGGCTCGTCTAAGTCTATTTTGGCTGTACCACTTTCAGAGGGAGTGGACGGCAGTATTGTAGACGAACTTCTGCTAGATCTTTCTGATGGTGTCTTAGGTTCTACTACATTCTCAAATGTTCAGCTTGATCATCTGTTATTTCATGTAATAATTTGGCTAACTATTCAGTTGTAAGGCCCTTTTTCCAATACTGTATATCAGAATAGTTTTCGTACATCTGAAAAAAACATGCATGTTGAGTTATTGTGAAAAATACTTGCTGAGCGCAAATAGATTGGTTCATAATATATGACGAAAATGTACAAAAATGACCAACACAACATATGCAACCAATTTAGCATATTTGTGATGGTTATAAATATTTATATTTTAGAGGAAAGTTTGAGGTTACATTTTTCTAAAATATCATATTCAAAATAATTTTAAATTTTCTTTACTTTTGATATATATTTTTTATTCTGAAACTGTTGTATAGTATCCTTATATTGGTAATAAAAACACTTACCGTTTATAGTACTCCTCAATCGTCAAATTTTGATGAAAAAATAACAAAACAGATTCAGCCTTGTACTAATTGCAAAAAAGAAGCACACTAGAATCCATTGGTACAAATGTTATACCGCTACAATGTTTACAAGTTGAGTAAACGTTCCGATATCAGAGCCATCGATGCATTACTTATTAAAATACAAATATAGATGTAAATAAGTAGAAATCTACTTTGTACTACTTATTTACTCTGTCGAAAATTCGTGTAAAAATGTGTGGTACAAGGGTTATACCAGAGATACTTAATGGGTTAAAGTTTTAGTGATATTTCTTTCTATTAAAAAGTGGCAGCTGTCACCCTCATTTTTAGTATAGCCGACAACTAAATAGCGATGAGTTATAGAAGAAATTTTGCAATGAGTTACAGCGAACTGATACATTAAAATGAGGTACTTCTTTTTTCCTTGGCCACCATAATTGTCTGAGTAAAATATGAATTTCAATATTTGTTCCAAATACATCAGCAGGCACGAACCAATTTCTGTGGTACCTTTACTGCTTTCTCAAGAAACCATTAAAAATTATTAAAAATTAATGTTTCACTTTTAGAATAACAATATTTTTAGAGAATATATAAAAAATACTTTTATAATCAAAATATTCTACAAAAATTATTTCGAAAATTTCTAGTCAAAACTGTTTATATTAAATTGTCACAAGACGAAGAAGTCAAGTTATTATACTGTAAAATAAATTACTTCTCATTTATCGATTTTATATTTTATAAGCAATGGTTTTGTTTCAGACCAAGACAGAAGAAACTACATCAAATGTTTTCTTTTTAATACTAGCCTCTATCGCCGGAATGGTTCTTACAGTAATAACAACAGTTTGTTTAAGTATTTCGTGTTTTCTAAAACCAAAATCAACGTTGACCATGTTAAAATTACAATGTTCCTTTTCAATGTTTCTGTTTGTGATGATCTTTTTAATAGCTGTAGTTATTGGACCAACTCAGGTAAGTACATTTTAAAAATATTCATCTTAAACTTCTGGGCTTGCTCTTGCTTTAAAGTCAGTTTGAAACTAATTTTTTAAGTACCCCCTGTTATTGGATGATTTTATTGTGAATTATCTGAGAATGGAGACAGGTTTTGTGAATTGATCCCATTTAAAGCATTTCAATAGTACAACAAATATTTCTACTCACAACTTTACTCAGCATACTTATTCAGATGCTAAAAAATATTTTAAACATCTTCCAAAACAAAAAGCCTTCATCAACATTGGTTTGACGGTAAAAAAATTCAGAGCATTCTATAAGACAGTTAACATCAACAGAAATGAATTCAAGACAACCACCATAGAAAAGAACCAAGACAATATCCTAAAAGTATCCTAAAAATACTAAAAATACCGTGGACAACGAAGCAAAACCTATTCGTCAGTATATTAATAGCGTCAAATAGCATATGTTTGACATGCAATGCGAGGAAAACAATATAATATTATTCGACTGATTATACAGGGAAAAATTGAAGGACTTATCGAAAGGACGCTTGTCAAGGAGTGCTTTATTATTTTTGTCAACTTTGACATTTTTCTCAATTTTACTAACGTAAGTTAGGACGCAGAAAATATGGTTAAATTTATTTCCCCTGCTTTGTAACACCCTGTATAAATGCTTTAAATAAGGCATTATAATATGAAGGGTACAGGTCCATAAAGAGCTAAGTCACCAAATGTTTATTTCGTACAAAACGAAGTTTAAATTTTAAAACCAGTTAGTAATAAATTATAGATGGTTATTATGACCTCTATTGATTAGATCAGTCACCCAAGTAATTAATGAAACACACAGAAGAAATTAAATTTATATTGATATTATAAAAAATAGAACAGAAGCTTTAATTGGTCAAACCACCAAACATTATTGGCCTAAAGGGGCCAAGTCCAAAAAACAAGTTAAAATGACAAGTAGACAAAAGTTATTAATATGAAATAATTCTAATTCTTAGGCAAGTTATCAAAAAATTGTTTTGCTTCGTCACCACAGAATCATTTCAAATCTTGTAGGCATTTAAATTTTTTAGCCGAGATTGGTAAAAGACCTAAAAATAATGTTGTTTAATAATAGTATTCCAAGATATTAATAATTTTTTATACCTGAATAAGAATACGGAGGAAGTTCAAATTCATTTTGTAGTACCACTGGTCCCTTTCGCTTACTATCTTTTTCCTTCACTATTCCTGACTCCCATGCTCCATTATAGGACTCCCGGTAATATATCAATCTACGATGATCTTGATGTATTTCTAATTCTCGAATTGGACGGGAACTGAAAGGACATTTCTTCAAATATTCTGTTTTCGTATTAAAAAAATTCGTCCATGCTCGAAAGTAGGATTGATCTATTTCCACAACGTCAAAGGGTGATGGTTTTGCACGAGCACTTCTAAAAATTTCAACCCAATCTAAAGGAATCTCAGCTCGTTGTTTGGAGTTTATTAAGCCCATATTTTTATCCGGTTCCATATAGGAATGGCCACGAATAGGGAAAGTAACTTTAACATAATCAAGTCTACTGTATTGTGGACAATATAATGCAAAAAACGAAACATGGTGAAATTTTTATTTTGTCCCCCACACGAGTCGCAGAAGCGATCTTACTTGTATGTCGAGAAAATTCCAAAGAAAGTCATTCAGCATTGAGCATACATCGTCGCTTCCCTTTTTGCCAATTGTTTCCGGGTAAATGTAAAACACACTTTTTGCTGTAGATAGAATGTGGACATTAAAGGCATAGACGTTCAGCTGGCTCTTATAGTAAACATCGTTTGTTGTTATGTTTGGGACACTGAGATTTTTTCCAAAATCGAGACAAATAGCTTCGTGAGTCACAGAGGTTCTAGTTTTTTTCTTCGCAGCTCTTTTTCTACTGTAAAATACCTCAGCCTTTCTTTTGTGTACATCATTTTGTATCGTAAGCTGGCGTATTTCCTTTTGCAAGCGTTCATTTTCAGCAAGATCGAAATACTGTTTATAAATATCAGACTGAAGAGATTTTATTTTTATAAGAAACTCATCACAGGAACTACATGTATCAGTTCTGGGATATCCAAAGGCTATGTTAAATTTTGTATTAAAGACTGTTCTGTAAGAATCGTAAGATATTTTCATAGAAGGGTTCAACTCGCAAAACATTTTTGAACATCTTTTTTATGTTTACCTCTTCAGGTAAGTATAATTTTTTACTATCATTCACACGATAGTGGCTTTTCCTGCCTTTAAATGACTTTATATGTTCGTATATTGCTACAAGAACGTTGGATCCCAATTTTCTAGGATGGTTTTTATTTTCTCCCCTTTTATTTTTAGGGGCGACTCCAGTCATTTTAGTGAATTTTGTAATATCTCTATTTTTTTTATTCTATGAATAGACATAAAAGCTTGTCTACAAATATTTAATACTTTTAAGCTATTATCAGTGCTAAAACTTACCCTGTAAGAATATGCAGCACTTCTCAAATTTGCTTCGTTTTCATCTTTCCTAGGCCTTCTTCGGCGAATAGGCAGTACTGTAATCAATCCACATAAGTATGAGTTCTGCTCATTAATAGAAGTCATTGTGTTAAAATTTTTGAGTACAGTTTTTCTTGCTTCTTCGGGTACATTTTGAAAACATTGTTCACGACAATTACAGGTTGCACCTACCTCGTGACTCTGCAGTCTAATTTTTTTCATGACATCTCTCATTCTGCCGTGCTTTTTCCTTCTTTTTTTGATTTATTCTGTTTAGGCACTACTTCAGTCTCATTTCCACTACTATTGTTTTCTGTATTCATTGTTATTTACTTTTAAATCACTTAAAAAACAATGAAAACAAACTAAACCGACGAACCTAACTCTAAACTGCGCGTATTAGATTAACGTCTATTGGCTATTTATATGGACTTTACCCTTTTAGGACCTGCCTGATAAGGACTTGCCCCCTATTGGTGGTGTATGCGTAAATTAGAATTAGTATTTCACGGGAACTAAGCGCTTTTAGGACGTGTAACCAGTCGCTGACCACTTCTACGTTAAAATTGCTACAAGATGGCACTACTAGATCTATTTATGAAAAATTGCGACTTGCCCCCTTTTGGCCCTGTACCCTTCATATGATATCCGGTCTGACTAGATTGCTTTAGAGTGATTTTTATTTTTCTAATACATAGAAAACTGCAACACTTTGATTCTATTTATGCAGCGACTTTGAACAATCAATATTCTATCGTAATAACCAGAAGTTTAAATAATTATTCTCTAAAAATTGTTCCAAAAGTGTTTTTATATAAAATATTAACACAACCTTTTGTATTTTAGTCATATTATCTCTTATTTCTAACTGGATTAGAAACAACAATATTATTGAGTTTATCCAGTCATTTGAGTAAGTTGCTCATTATTTTTACGGAATTAACTGAGTTGCCAAAATCGATGACATCGAAACATACTGTTACAGGAATTATCTCAGGTAAAGTACACAATTTTTATAACATAGTGTAAAAAGGTTATAAATTATTTATATATTTTAAAGATTATACATAAAATCTAGATCTGTATTTATAATATGTTTAAATTTCAGCTAATGTTAATGAATAACAAAAATGCTATCCCCTTTTCAAACGATTTTTTTAAAACAATTTTAATAAATCAAAAGTCGATTGTTTTTTTAATATATCTTAAAATTAAAGCCTTATAGAATCAATTGTGGTCTTCTAAATAACTCTAATTTATAAAAAACTGGGAAAAAAAAGCTAGGAAAAAATACTAGTAGAGTGGCTCAAATTGGAGTTTGTACCATTGCCCAAAACACCAGGAGCAAAGTTTGTGAAGATTATAGGACCATAAGCTTAATAAGTCATCTGCTGAAGCTGTTTTTAAAGGTCATCCACAAAAGAATTTACCGGAAATGCGAGGAACAAATTGCGCCCAATCAGTTTGGATTTGTGAACGCCGTTGGTACGAGGGAAGCTTTATTTAGCGTGCAGGTATTGTTTCAGAAATGTAGAGATGTCAGCTGTAATATTTTCGCATGCCTGATTGATTACAAGAAGGCTTTCGATAGAGTCAGACATGAACAAATGATAGAAGTGCTGAAGAGGAGAGGAATTGATGGAAAAGACATAAAAATAATAGCTAACCTGTATTGGAATCAATCAGCGGTACTCCGAATAGATGGAGAATATACACATCAGGTCTAAAATCTTAAGGGGAGTAAGACAGGGGTGAATAATTTCACCACTGATATTTAATCTTTACTCGGAGCACATTTTTGAAGAGGCTCTAAAGATATTGATAAAGGTATCTCAATAAATTGAGTCAAGCTCAATAACCTGCGGTATGCAGATGATACAATAGTGTTTTCCACTACCATATAAGGGCTGCAAAACTAAATGAACAAAATAACGGAAACAAGTAGAAAATATGGACTGGACATAAACACTAGCAAAACCAAGCTAATTATCATCAGCAGGGAAAACCTCTTCTTCTTCTTCTTAAAGTGCCTATCCGTTCCGGATGTTGGCGATCATCACGGCTATCTTTACTTTGTTTACTGCAGCGCGGAACAGTTCAGTGGTAGTCGTGTTATACCACTTTCGTAAATTTTGAAGACAGGAAATGCGTCTTTTTCCCGATTCTCTCTTACGATTTACCTTCCTTAGAGAATTAGCTGGAGAAGGCCGTAACGTTCTTGATTTCTCATTACATATCCTAGATATTCCTACTTTTAGTTTTGACGGTCATGAGAATTTCACATTCTTTCCCCATTCTACGCAGAACTTCTACATTGGGAAGGAAAACATAACTGGAGCAAATCTGTATGTGAACCAAATAAGAATTGAACGTATTTCACAATACAATTACTTGGGAACTATAATCAATGAGTCGTGGGACAATACCCAAGAGATTAAATGTTGTATCGGAAAGGCAAAGAGTGCATTCTTGCCTATGAGTTCTGTGTTCAAGAAGCATGACCTCACCTAGAAACAAAAATAAGGCTCCTTAAATGTTATGTGTACTTAGTGCTTCTGTACGGAGTAGAAACGTGGACATTAAAGGCGGAAACTCTATCAAAACTTTGAGCTTTTGAGCTTTGGTCATACAGAAGGATCCTGAAGATACCATGGACAGAGAAAGTCGCCAATGAAGAAGTACTGAGGAGAATGAACACAACTGCGAATTTGGTCAACATCGTAAAGGGCCGTAAGCTGCAGTACTTGGGCCATATAATGAGAAATCAAGGCAGATACGAGCTACTTCAATGCATTTTGCAAGGTAAAATTGAAGGAAAAAAGGCCCTGGGCGAAGAAGAATATCCTGGCTTGCTAACCTGCGAGCATGGTATGGAAAGAAACACAGCTATTTCGTATAGCAACCAACAAAGTCATCATAGCCAGAATGATCGCCAACGTTCGGAATGGACAGGCACCCTAAGAAGATACAAAACTGGAATAATGCTAAATATATGGTTGAAGTCTACATTTACCCAACTTCCAAAAAACTCTAATACATTTTCATATAACGACTTTAGACTAATTGGTCTTATGAGTCACTCTTCCAAACTGTTCGCAAATTGATACAAACAATTCGGTTTCAGAGAAGGATTGGTAACAAGGAAAGCTTTTTTCTTAATGCTAACATTACTTCATAGATCATGGAAAGTCCAGAATCTAATTAACGTCTGCTTTATAAATTTTGAAAACGCGTTTGATAATGTCCAACATTAAAGGCTGTTTGAGTATCTAGATATGATTGGAATAGATCATAGAGATCTGAGAATTTTACAACATGTGGAATTCGAATTGGGGGAGAAACAACATCAGATATTCAGATGATATAGCGATCATGGCTATGCTTTAATTTCTTATAGATCAAGTCACTAGAGAATGCCCAAATACCGGAATTGGCATAAATACATTAAAGACAAACTTACTTGGGGTTATTAAACAAGACGTTACGGAATATAAACACGCCTGATTTGGGAACGTTAGTCAAAGAAAAAAAATTACTAGAGAGTCCTTTTTTCAAAAATTACAATTGTTTAAATAATCGGTCTCCGGCATAAATAAATTACATATTTTTTAAACTATTTGATCGATCTGGCTGCAATCTTGCATACTTCAATCACTCATTAAGTTCCATAATTTGTGGTAGTACACGTCATTGTGCAAAAAGAATAATTTAATATTATGCAAAATAAGGATTTTTGCAATAATGTAGATCAATTGTTTTCAATCAATCTATTTTAATTAAGTAAGTCGGAAATTAAAGAACATTGTAAAATCTACTGCTTTTACTTAACCCTTTTAGTCACAACTTTTTTTGAGCTATGGGAAAATTCTCATATTTGGTATATAAAATAAACTATTTTTGTTGATAATTTTAACATCATTTTTTTTATATGTCATATGTCACTTGGCATATGACATGTCCATGTTGATGGACATTATGACTTGAAGCAAAATAAAATAAACCTGAAGATTTTAGAAATTTATTTGAATATCATTAGAATGACGAAATAAACAATATTCTTTGTAAATAACGAATTAATCATTTTACATGAAATTTAAAAAAACAGTTACGACCGCTTACAAAACATAAGTGAACATTACATTTCACGCAAAATGTATGTGATTTTCCCTTACAGTTCTCCATTTTGCAACGTGTACTATCTTTTTTTTCATCTATTTTCGGAAAATGTCCATAGCTGTCGAACCGTAATTCAATATATGGCCTTGCTTCAGTTTTGGTTTTTTTATTATTTGGTGTACCAGTATTTTCTTGACCAGATGGTCTGCCTCTCTTTGGTGGAACCTTATGTAAAATGAGGTGTTGCCCAATACTCATTCTAAAGTCCCACAAATCCAGGATTTTATTGTGTTGTACGCCTAGCAGTTCAGCTTGTTTTCTATATTCCAACCAGGAATTTACTATCGCCATATCTATAGCATGTGTTATCATACGTACAGTCCATTTTCTGGATCGTCTGTAGGATCTGTAAACGCTCAATAAAAAATCTAACTTATCAACACCACCCATGTTGGAATTGTAAAGCGATATGGCTTCCGGTCTAGATACATTTATATACTCTTTCGACGTCTTATCCCATCTCTGGCACAAATCCATTTTTCCCGCTGCAACAAAATTTGAAGCCACTAAAACTGGTTTATTGTCGAACCATTTTGTAATCACAATTCCATCTTCACTAACCGCTACATCAAAACTACCTCTACCATTTTTTTTAGATCTTTATCAGATGTTAGTTCTGGTCCAAAAAATCGGTTTATTCTAATTGTTCCGACAGCCATAATAGATTTATTGTTCAACCATTGAAAGAGGTGATAAGAACTAAAGAAATTATCAAAGTACAAACCGTGATGAGTTTCTTCAATTCTCTCAACTAGCTGCATCACAGTTCCAGCTCCTTGTCCAAACTGTGCATAATTTTCTTTTATTTCCGTTTCAGCACCTTGATATATGATGAAATCGTAAATGGTACCAGATTGTCCAGCCAATATCCATAATTTGATCCCCCATTTTTTCGGTTTATTTGGGAGGTACTGCTTGACATTGATCTGTCCCTTGAATGGAACAATTTGCTCGTCAATGCACAAATTTGTTTCGGTTTGAAGTTCCCTACAACGATTTCTAATGGAATTATATATTTCTCGGACTTTCCACATGCGATCTGTTTCGTCACCTCTTGCTGTTACATCTACTAAGTGAATGGTATTGCGCAACTTAGAGAAGCGATTGAATGTCATATTATCTTTTACAATTGAAATACCTGTAAGCTGGGACCAATACAGTCTTGCTCTTGGGAATTTTAGATTTCCCATAATAATGTGAATGCCTACAAATCGCTTTATTTCTTCTTTATCTGATGGAGAAAACCGAGTAATATTTTTTTGTACGGCATATAAGTTAGTCATTTCTGAAATCTTCTCAAACAGAGCATCAGGTATGTATTTCATAAAATATTCAATAGGAGCAGGTAATTCATCAACTTGTACTTCTTCTGGAACAAACCACTGTACTGGCCTGGTAAGATAGGTAATATTTTTTTTCCAACAAACATCTTTCTTATTTGTGAGTTTGAACTCTTTACAAAACTCTAGCAGTCTCTCCTTTGCAGTTGTTTGTTTTTCAGTGGTTTGGTTGGAATTTTCTTTGGTTTTCATGTCCTCAGACATTGGTTGTTCTGTAGTCACTTCATTGGGATATTCTAGATTTTCTAACTCACCTCTTTCTGTTGACTTCTGTTCTTGGATCAATCCGTCAAAAATAGTTTCCTCAATATCTTGGATATCATCGCCAAATTCTGAGGAAACGTCATTTAGATCCGCAATACTTTTGGCGTCATCAGCATCTGACAAACGTAATATTTCTGAGTCATCGTCTTTCATGAGTAAATCCAGAAGTTCATCCTCAGTCAAGGGTCGTGACCATCTCTTTTCTTTACTAGTTGAC